ATAGCTTCCTTTCCTCTTCTTTCTAAAAGATTTCTTTGAAAATTATTTTTAATTAGGTGTATGTGTATGTCTGGGTATGTGTACATGAGTGTAGTGCCCTAGGAGGCCAGAGGTGACAGGTCCCCCCTGGAACTGGAGTTACAGGTGGTTGTGAGCCACCTAACACGGAGGCTGGGAACCAGACTAAGGTCTTCAGGAAAAGCAGTACATGCTCTCACCCCCTGAACCAGTTCTCCAGCCACCCCCCCCCCCTCCACCGGCCATGACACATCTTAGTTTGGTTTCTATTGCTGTGATAAACACCATGACCAAAAGCAACTGGGGAGGAAAGGGTTTATTCATCGTATAACACCCCAGGTACGGACTCCCATAGAAGAAACTGTTGGTGGTTTGAATGAGCATGTCCCCCATAATATCTGGCAATTGAATACTCGGTCCCCAGTTGGTAGTGCTATTTGAGGAGGCTTAGGAGGTGTGTCTTTGTTGGAGGAAGTGCATCATTGTAGTTTGAGAGGTGAGCTCTCACCTGTTCCTGTTACCATTTCTGCCAGGCCACACTTCCCTGTCACTGTGAACTCTAGTTCCCTGGAACCCTAAGCTCAAACAGACTCTTCCTTTTTGGTCGTTGTGTTTTATCGCAGTAATAAAAATTTAACTAATATAGAAGCCAAGACAGGCACTCAAGATGGACAGGAACTTGGAGGCAGGAACTGGAGGAGTGCTGCTTACTGGCTTACTCCTCATGGCTTGCTCAGCTTGCTTTCTTATATACTCTAGGACCACCTGCCCAAGGATGGCACCCTCCCCACAATGGGCTGGGCTCTTCCATCTTAAATATTAATCAAGAAAAATACCCCACAGGCTTGTCTACAGGCCAATCCGATGGGCACATTTTCTCAAGTGAAGTTCCTTCTCTCAGATGACTCAAGCTGTGTCAAGCTGACAAAAAAACTAATCAAGACACCTCCTTTCTTTCTTCCTAAAGAGAATTATTCCCTTCCTCTTCAGAGCTGGGAATCCCTGGGTTTGGATCCCCAGCACCCACATAAAAAGCCAGTGTAGTGGCACACTCCTGCAACCTAGTGGTGAAGAGGCTGACTCCCTAGACTCAGGGCAGAGATAGCGCTATAGTCAAGAATACAATCTCTGGGATTGATTGTCAAAATTTTAGTGAAGTCATCATTATTATAAGGATGTCTCTGAGAAGCCTTCCCCCTTTCTTCCTCCCAACCATCATAGTTCATCCTGAGAGGCTCTGTGGTCTACTGGCAATTCCATGAAAGATTAGACATGCATTTTAGGCAACATTGTATTCCCATCCAGTATGCCTTGCTCCTGACATGCGGAGGGTGCTAGGTAGAGCATATGCCTAGATATTTGCACAGCTGAGCAAATAATCCAGTAGTCGTTTGATGCAGAACTCAGTGTGCATTTCATCCAGCTACTGACCTACCTTTTTCAAGCCTCGGGCAAATCTTGTGGTTCTGACATCATGTTTGGCTCTCCTGGATCAATTACTTGCTCACTTCATTTCACTAAGTCATGAATCAAAACTTGAGCAGTAGGTCGTACCTAAGTTGAAGTTTTACATTTACTCATTATTTCTGGCCATTGAAGAAACAATCTTTCATTTTGAAATTTTCATTTGCATGTGTGTAGTGTGGTGTGCATGTGTAGTGTAACATGCTCCTGTGTGCTTACATGTGTGCATGTCTATGCCCCTATTTTTGGTTTATTGAGACAGTCTAATATGTATTCGGCTGGCTCTGAATTCCTCATTCTCCTACTTCTACCTCCCAAGTGTTAGGATTAAAAGAATGAGTTACCATGCCTAGTAATTTTTTTGTAAGTTGAGTCCAGTAAAATTTCAGGCGTTACACACAATGTTCATGTTGTGATTTTGAACTCTGCCCTAATTGTTCTAGATAAAAGTGTAACAGGATCCCAGACATTAGTAGGCTCCCAGACCTTAGCACAACATGGCATTCAGGTTGTAAAACTCAGAATGTAGACAGCACCACCTGCCCAAAATGAAAACAAGGACATAATCCACCAAAGTCCATAGCTCTAGACTTTGTGTTTCTAAGTGAACTAACTTTGCTTTGTGGCTTCTGTAGTTCTGCTTCGACTAACTGTTCTTGTTACCCGAAGTAAATCAACCAAGAACGTGGTTTTTGTGTTTAAAAACTCATCTTGAGAAAGGCTCAGTGTTACACTGGGATCCCAAGCACCCACTGTAGTCTCGGGTTGGCTAATAAAGACTTTTTTTTTTACTTAAATCCACACCTGAGCAAAGAACTAGATAATGGAGCTCATTCTTCCTCTCTATTCACTCATGATTTTGAGGATTCTGCATGTCATAAGCACTTACATTTGTCATAGTTCTCAGAAAGACTTTATGACTTGGGACAGAATACAGAATCAAAATTTATTGAGAAAAATGTTTGAAAATAAACACGAGGAGCTCTGCTGATATAGCGTCTTGATTGTCTTTATAAAAATACAGATTATGTGACTTCTTTGAGGAGACTCGTGGCTTCCCGGTATGCTGACGGCCTGTTCCCACAGTTCTACACAGCAGAGGACGGCAGACTCTACAATGTAAGTCAGAGTTCCCGCAGTGGCCAGGTCTCATGAAAAGAGGCTGTAGTCACATTAAGATCCCCGGGGGTGGGGGGGGGTGGTAGTGGTGGTTAGCCAGGCAGTGGTGGCGCACACCTCTAATCCCCACACTCACGAGGCAGAGGCAGGTGGATCTCTGAGTTCGAGGCCAGCCTGGTCTACAGAGGAAGTCTCAAGACAGCCGGGCTACACAGAGAAATGCTGTTTTGAAAACCAAAATAACTGCAACAACAAAAGATCCTGGGGGTTGTGGAGATGCTGGCTTCAGGTTTTCTTTGGGCAGTGGTAGAGCGATGATGTGTGGTTAAGCACAGGGGAGGGAAAGCCCATGGCTTGAAAGAGGTGGAGAGCAGGAAGCTCTTGATCAGCTGCTTGATAATCAGCTCTTGACTACGTACCATCACTTTGTCTTACTTTGAAAAAGAGGGTAAAGAAAAGACACTATGACATTCTCTGAAGTTACCCAGTGGAGGACTAGGGGCAGGGTTGGCAGGTGGAGCCCTCCAGTCCGAGAGTTTACTCATATGACACTGGGACCCACAACTGGAGCTCATGGTCTTGTTGGAGACACATGCTTCATCCTGTCCAGAAGTAGATGTTTACCTATGTCAAGGTACATCTGTGTACCACCAGGACTGTGGTTTTCTAAAACAGCCATCCCTTGGAACTCAGAGGGCCTTTCCAGGACCCCTGGGTTAGTCAAGGTTGTCTAAAGGAATTGGATTAGTAGAAAGAATATTTTTTTTTAAAAGGGGACTTATTATAGTGGTTCACAGACTTTGGTCCAGCTTCTCCAACAATGACCACCTCCAGATGGAAAGGCCAAAATTTTGTAGTTGTTCAGTCCATGAGATGTCAGTCCATCATCCACTAGATGTCTCAGCAGTCTGGAAGGATTCCTAAGAGTTGCTGGTCTTTTGTCTACATTGGAATCCTAGAGAAGTGGGCCCTGGGCTGGAGAGATGGCTCAGAGGTTAAGAGCACTGACTGCTCTTCCAGAGGTCCTGAGTTCAATTCCCAGCAACCTCATGGTGGCTCACAACCATCTGTAGTGAGATCTGGTGCCCTCTTCTGGCCTGCAGTCATACATGCTGCATACATAATAAGTAAATAAATAAATAAATAAATCTTTGAAAGAAAGAAAGAAAGAAAGAAAGAAAGAAAGAAAGAAAGAAAGAAAGAAAGAAAAGAAAAAAGAAGTGGGCCCTAACACCAGCAAAGGAATTCCTCAGCTACAGGATAGATGAACTTGCCAGCAGGAGTGAGGGGACAAGCAGGCAAAAAGAAAAAGCTTCTCTCTTCCCTGTCCTTTCTTGTGGACCAGAAGGTGTAGCCCAGATTTAGGGTGGGCCTTTCCATCTTAAATGGTCCGTTCAAGAAAATCCTTCACAGGAGTGCCAAGCTGCTTGGGTTTCAGCTGATTCCAGACATAGTCAATTAATATCCATCACAATCCTCAACAGATATCCCAATCCAGTATGCTCAATTCAGTTATGACGGAGCATGGTATTTGCTTAAAACCTATTTGATTCTCCTTTATACCTTAAGTTATCTCTAGGTGACTCATAATACCCAACACAATATAAAAGCTGTGTGAATACGTCTTACATCATATTGTTTAGGGGATAATAACAATAAAAACGCCTGTTCATAGTCATCATCTATGCAGTTCACTTTTTTTTTTTTTTAAATATTTTCTACCCTAGGTTGGTTGAATCTGATTATCTCTGTGGATAGGGAGGGCTGACTGTATTTAATATTTTTAAATTGCTCTTCTGAGTTTGGTGCACTAGATCCATTTTTAACTGGTCCATATTAAAATCCCCGCAGAGCAGTGGAACAGATGTCTTTGTCCACAGACATCCACAGACATCCCCTGAGATCCTTCTGTGCGGTGACTTTTCTTAGGGGGCGCTAACAAACATGTCGAACCCCAGATAGGGCACCGATGACAGACCAAAGAAAGGGTTCCACCCAAGTCTAACTTAGTGACCCAGGGAATTTACAGGGGTTACTCAAAGGAGCATAAGGGACTCAATGGTAACTGCATCATGGGGGAAAAGCCCACTATACCACGCATGGGTGATGAGCCAAGCTGCATCCCTACAGCTCAGTTATCAAGTGCGGTCCCTCCTCCACAGTGTAGGAAATAGCTCCACAACATGGTCTCATAACGAGGTCTTAAAACAGGAAATGAGGTATAGCAGGGGGGCGGGGGGGGGGCGGGGGGCGTGGCTCAATGGAAAAGCACTTGTTGAGCATGCGCAAAGCCGCCCCCAGCACCAGTGGTGCTGGCCCTTGAGGAGCGAGCTCAAGAGAGAAGTGGAGATGCAGATGGGGTACGGGAAGGACTTTACCAGATCTTTTAAACGTTGGTTTCTCATAGCACAGGCCATAGCTTTTCCTTCTACTTCTCTGTTGTCTACCTCTTTGCTCTCTAAAAGGCCTTGCATTGGGTGCCAGGTCTCCTTGCCTGGTCTGCTTGAAGGATGTATACTGTACATACAAGATGCTGCCTGCAAGTCTCTGTCACCTTTGGGAGCATCCCGAAGTTATCAGTGGCAGCTGTGAATAACGAACGGGGTGACCCAGGTACAGGCGAGGCTGGTGGAGGAGAGAGCAGGCAAAGTGACAAAAAGTCACAACCATTAGAAGGAGTAACTGGGCTGCTGTTTTTACAAGGAATTGGAGATGTTTGCAGAAATACTTTGCAGTGTTTTACACAGGAAAACTTTTTAGTGAGACTTCAAAAAAAATTCTGTCTTGGCTGGTTTTTCTTCTACTCAGTTTTAAAAGTCTTGGCTGGTATTTCTTTCTTCTACTCAGTTTTAAAAGTGGCCCTGGCTGTTTTCTGGATATATATATAGTATATATATAAAATAAAGTAAGATAAAACCTGCAAGTTTTTTTTTTTTTTTTTTTTTTTTTTTTTTTTTTTTTTTTTTAGCAGTACAGTTTAAAGAGATCACATAATCTTTCTGAGAGGCTGGAATCTCCTTCCTGGGTCCTGTGGAGTTCGAAGGCCACCACAGACTCCTTCTAGGTGCACAGCTCCAGTCACAGTGACTGTGGGTCTAACTGCTTATTTTGCCACCGTCTCATTGTTTTTGATTTTTTTCCATTCTGATTTTCGTTCAGCTGACAGCGAAGTCAGAGCTGATCTACTCGTTTGTGGATTGTTTAACACAAGCTGTGGAGAGTTATAAGCAGCGGATGGACTGGCTTACCAGCGGGAGCCGGCAGATTTTTGGTGTCATCCTGGAACAGAGCATCACCATAGTACTGGATCTCAGTGACATTCTGATGGAGGAGCTTAATCTGTGCCAGGATGCTCTGGTAATGGTCCTCCAGGAGCAGGTGGCTCTCATCACCAAGTTCAACATCATATGGTGAGTGCCCAGTGGAAACATTTGTCTCCGTGAAACTTCATACCGACATGCACATATTCAGAGTTAAGCAGCAAAGCTAACCCAGTTAGCCTGATGGCAAAGGAGGAGGATTATCATAATTCCATAGAATATACAATTTCAGCAGAAAACCCACGATGAATAATAAATCTTAGGGAGCTTTTATTTGCTTTTCTCGGGGCACCTTAGGTTTCGTGGTAAGAGAGATTTAGAAACCTGCTTTTCTTCAATACACTGGCAGGTCAAAAGATGAGAATATGAATTACACGTTCATATGATATGTATATATGTGTATATATGTGTATATATGTGTGTATGTAGTGAAGGTGCGAGTCTCGTTTTAGAACGGATAACATGATTAAAGGCCACAACTTCTGCTCTCTTTTCCAGACTGAATTTGTGACACACATTGACCTCTCTTATGAGTGTAAACCCCTTTAATCAGAACAACAGGTGGTTGCCTTTCTAGAATTGCACTTAATTTAGAGTTGTCATGATTGATTATTTATGGATTCTTGGAGCCACAGGAATGTGGGCCTCAGTGCTAACTTCTCAGCCACACACACCAGCGGTTGCACCTCCTTGACAACAAACATCTGGATAAGTGGGTGGAGGGCAATGTGCCTCATTGAGTTCTCTGTTGAATAATGCACTTTAATCTAAATAGAGGACGCCTTTGTGGGTGGGGTTCTGGTCCAGATCTTGCCTTTTGACACAGGTACGTTATTGAAGGAATTGAGTTTTTGATGTGCACAAAGCTTTTACCTTCTCAGACTGTTTACCACAGCATGTGTACCCCTCAACCCAGAGAAGCCCCACCAAGGGGACCCAGGTATGAGGCAGCTCTCCCTGTAGCAATGGGGCATTAGCTACAGCCAAGTCAACTTACTCGGCATTATGAACACAGATACATTCAAATCATTTCTCTTTTTGAGGGAGGGTGCCCTTCAGTCATTTCTAAACTCTAAATAAATGGTTTAACCAAATGCTCTCGGAATTTTAAAATGTATGTTCTGCTGAACTAAAAGCAGTACTATTTTTGACCCAGAAATCATAGTTGGTAGACTCTGTGAGGGCAATGAGAACAATGTCACTAGAAATAAATTCTAAAACAATGAGTTGCTACCAGCTTGTAAACCATAATACTGTAAGTTGTTTTGAATTTGCTATTGATAAAAGATAGTTTCATAATCCTGCCTGTTTA